CCAAAAGTTTTGATTGACCCCCCCTGGCTTTGATTTGTTGTTTTTAGTTTGCTGGATGAAGGAAAAATTTTTTTTTTTTTTTTTTTTCCCCCCACAATTGTCTCATACAATCACAAGACGGAGACAATTTCAACAAATGAGTAAAAAAATTTTTTTATTTTTTAGTTGCGTACTGCCATGAGTGTCCTAATAAGTTAGTACAACCAAAATCATAAATAGGATATAATATTCCTCACAACCGCTCAACAGCAATATAATTTTAGAAGCTGCTATTAATATCTTGCTAGCGTAAAAGCCTCAAATAGGACCGAAGCGAAGAAGAAACAGGAAGTTCAGGACGGGACGCCACTCTTCTCTTTGTTTCAGCTGCTAAGAACAAACATTGACTATGCAACTCGTTTCTAGTAAGCTGAGAATGTTTCCTAGCAAACTGGCTGAACCTTTAATACAATACCAGTAATGGATCGAGTCAAAGATCCGGCACAGGTTACTTCTTCAAAACCGAGCAGAACAAACTGGAGTCTGATTCCAGATGTACAGACTTCAAAACTCATATTTCACCAAAAACCTGCTCATATTTACACGTGACGGGGAAAAAATGAGTTATATCTCACCTCAATGAGGGTTTAATATGAACAATATCAACATGATTATCACTTATTTGAATAGGGGCAATCATATCAAGCACTACAGCATTTATAGCCTTAGCTAAATGTTGCACGTTAGAACATGAACACAAACGCTTTACTGCAGGTTTGCTGAAAACTGCTGCGTATTAAATGAAAGTACTGAGAAATAGTTTTTAAAACAACTGCTGAATTCTTTCTATTTCTTTACTTTTTCATTTTTGTCACAAATTTTCGGTCCAGAGCTGCTATCTGCTAATGCCATCATGCTCTAAAAAAGAAAGCAAAAAATAAAAAACAGTATATGAAAGGCTTGATTTAAACAGCTACTCACATCACCACATTACTACTTATCTCAAATAGATATTTGTTAGTGATTAAAACTAAAATAAAGTTTCTTGTCTTCCCTTGTCTCTAATTTCATTCTGGTTATTTATGAAGTAATTTTTTTATGTTTCAATCCAATATTGCTACATCATTGCTTGAGTTCAGGAAAAAAATTATTAAATAAATGTATGCGTCGAGACTGCACAAAGCCGCATCTCCTCCATATGTAAGGAAGCTGAGGCCAAAAAGTTTTGAAACTGCCAGAAGTGTAACTATTGACAAACTTTACTGATTTTTTTTCATATGTTTCTAAATTATATTGAAGTTGAGTAATAAAAAAATTTCTGAAGAGTCTCGAAGGCTGAGAGACTCGTGAAGTGAAGGCCATGGAGAGTATCAGAAAGAGCAGGAGCTTCTTAAAGAGACAGGCTCAATTTCAATGTGCAAAGTCAAATTTCCGTTTAAGCCATGTTTGAAATATACAGCATTTTATCTCGACTGCAATAAAATGACACAATGTGCCTGGAAAATATATAAAATACATTTACAGATGAACTAACAGGGAAATAGATAAAGTTTACAGTTTATCTGTAAAATACATTTACAGATAAACTAACAGGGAAATAGATAAAGTTTGGCTTGGCTAATAGTGATTCTAATGGATTTTATAATCTGAATTACTCATTGTTTATGGTTTTAAAATCTGATTTGTGAACTTCTGAAAACAGGAAAAAAACACGACAAGTGATCCATGACTTGTTTTTCTGATGACAGTGGCATTACATATGAAATAATTAAAAAAAAAAAAGAGAGAAAGGGGGGCTAAGGGGGAAATGTATGACCGTGTTGTTAAACATCACAAGTGCCATAAACGGGGCAGGGCAGCGTGGCATTTAGAAGGGGGAAGTGATGCGACGTTAAAGGGGACGGGGTTGCCAGCAGCGCATTTGTGAGTGTTTGGTTTTCACGGAGCGCATCATGAACCGCCTGCTGCTGGGAGCCGTGCTGCTGGAGAAGCTGGCCCTGTGTGTCACAGCTCAAGGTAACCTCCGCTCTCGTCCTCCTCCTCATCACCATCATCATTTTCTTTTTAATCTCATTTTATCACAGAGCTTCAGCCGCTTTGGAAAAACACCAAAGTTGAATTTGAGACGTCCTGACTGAGATTTACGGCTGCGATGTCAATATTTTCCTTCAAATCTAGTTTTGTTGCAGATGTGGAAAAACATTATAGTAAATTTCCTTTACAGCATTTATTGGTTTTCTTTTTGGTAGATCCTCAGAGACAGAGAAGGTCAGTGATGGTCAATAGGCTGTCAAACCTGTTCGCTGTGTTTGTCATAAACATCGACTTTGTTTTTTAAAGGGGTCACATGGCAATCACTGCAAACAGAAGCTGCAAATAAAACCAAATATATGCATATATTTTTTTTTACTTTTCTGCAGCAGTACCTTTGCAGCAGTCGCACTTTTAAATTTACTGATTTGTCACTGATGCAATCCGAGGTTTTCCTACAAAATGTGAATTCTGGCTTCGTAATTTGAGTAAAAAATATGAGTTAATACCTTGTTTTGGTCATTACCAGTCGTCACAAATCATCCTAAGGAGGAAAAAAAATACAGTTAAATGACTTGTAGAAATTTGAGATTCCTCTACTCCAGTGAAGCCTGATGACAGAAGAATTTGTGATTTACGTTAGGCAGCAGTGTTTGTTTTGGGTGACGTCCTCCTGACCTTCCCAGAGGCTCAGGAAGCCTCTTTCCCTCCAAACAAAACCAGCAGGTTTTGTTTTTTCTACTTAAAACCCAAAGACATCACTTTGAGCCGGTCAAGGAAACCGCACAACTCTGTACGGTTTCCTTCAGTTTTACCTCACTTCAAATTTAACTATTCTCTTAAAAAATACAAACAAACAAACAAAAAAAAGAATTCTGTGTTGAATTAAGTAAAAGCAAACAAATTCAATTCAACAATAGTGTCCCAGGAGATAAAAAAAAAAGGTTTAGTTAAACAGATGTTTATAAATGAGGTAATAAAAGAATAAAATACGATAAAACTTGACTAAATTTATTTAGAAGAAGCTTCAATTTCAGTTTCATGCTTTCCTTTATCCTTCTCTTTCCATCATTATGTCATCATGCTAGGCACTTAGAATAAGAAACCAAACCACTCAAACATCGACCTTGCAATGCGTCTGCAGTTTGACATGCTGTTCAGTTCTACGTCTTGGTGATAAACTCCTCCAAACGTCACTTATTAACTCTCATCTGAGCTGCTACAATGTGACTTCCTGTGTTGCAGAGATGCTGGCTCCACCTGGACAGGTGAAGTTTGAGTCCATAGACTACAAGAACAGCCTGCACTGGGCCGCACCCACAAACAGCTCCTGCCTGCAGTACTATGTCCAGTATAAGATGTGAGGGCTCACACACACACACACACACACACACACACACACACACACACACACACACACACATGGATTCCTTCTGCTGCTTCAGCCTTTTGATCTGCTCAACTAGGAATTCATTTTTTTTAATGGCATTTTTCTCTTGTTTTATTTCTTTAAATGGATTTTTTTTTAAAGTCTTAAGTTTTCTCACCAAGAGTGAAATATGAAAAAGGACTTCTTCTCTCCATGAACACGTGTTTTTGGACCAGTATTTGTCAATATTTAAATTTTAGAAAACCCACCAGCAGAGGGAGCTCCTCCTCCAACACCTTAACTGACCTATCACCTTTAACTGTGTGTGTTGTTGGCCTAATCTACTACAGATTAAGATTAAGAGAGCACTTAAAAATTGCTTTCAAGCGTAAAAATGAATATAACACGAGGAAGCTAACATGCTCTAATACGTTTCCGCTTATTTTGTTAGTTTTAACTATCAGATTGGCAAATCAAAATTCAACTATATGGTTTAACTAAATGCACCCTGACCTTCAGTGCTTTTTGCACAAATACATTCGCAAATCTTTTTTTGTTCTTCTCGCATTAACAGATTTACTCTGTAAAACATTGAAAAATCAGGCATTGATCTGCTGCAAGATAAATGAATAGTTCTATTGTGGTGGGATTTTGTGGAATAGTTATTTGCAGTCAACGTCCTACCTGTGCTAGACATTTGTTCAGAATGACCCCAGTTTGAAGAACTCAAGCAGACTGGAGCCAGTTAAAATCCAGATTGTATCTGGAACAACTCGAACTTCAGAACGGTTGCTGCAGCTCAGCGTTTCGGATTTTTACGCCGACTAGAATCAGATCATCATGTCCATTCAACATACAGTGTAAACATCCATTCTTCTGTTTTCTGTTTTTACAACCCATTTAAACTATCGGGTCTTCAGTGAAGCCAAGCATAGCAGCAAAACCAACTCCGACTTCTGTGATTTTCCCGAGTCGTCTGACAGAAATATCCGCTCACCTCTCACAGTTACGGCGAGCTGGACTGGCTGAACGCCAGTAACTGTCAGGGCATCCACAGGCACCACTGTAACCTCAGCGGCGCCACCTCCGACGTCAGAGAGTGGTACTACGCCCGGGTGCGAGCGTCGTGTGTGGCCACCAGCAGCAAATCGGCCTGGGCCATGTCCCGCAGATTCAGCCCCCGCTGGGACAGTAAGCGCCGACCCTCCTCTTTGACATCAACTCCTTTATTCTATCTTATTTGTTGAATTATTTCTGAAAAAGATGGTGTCTGAAAAATTTATTTTTCTTGTTTTTGAAGTTACAAACCATGTCATTTTAATGACAGTTGACTGTTTATGTATCTGCAGCCAAAATCAGCCCCCCCACGGTGAAGCTGAACTTGTCCAAACAGGGCGTCGTGGTCCAAGTGAAAGCCTCCAGAGTGTTGATGCGCAAGGTGCACAACGGCGTGGACAACAACATCTACGTCGTCCACCCTGGTGGAAAGGAGGTAGGGAACTCACACAGATTATTACCCATAATCTCTGCACTTCAGTTTCACCCAAAATCTGCCAGATTGTTATTAAAATTTTTGTACACTGACCCCTGCGAAATTAGTAATATCTCTTCATTAATTAAGATGATTCTAGAAAACTCTGACTCAGGGGGTGCTCAATATATATGCACGCCACACTTTTCAGATTTTTATTCGCAAAACAAACCTGAAAATTTAGTCATGGATTTAATAGAAAAGTCCAAAAGTGAATATTTGACCCAAATTGCTAAAAAAAAAACAACAAAAAAAATAGTAATAAAGACTCCAAATGATGAGAAAAGAAAGAAATACATTTAATTATGTTTGAATTCTAACTGCAAAAACAAAATCATAGCAAGTATGTTTTTGTCTAGTTTCTAGTGCAGATATGTTAGCACACTTGAAATATGACAAAACCAACTCACAAGTTACTTTCCAGCAAGTTATAATTTCTTTATATTGATAAAAAAAATCAATTCCTGGATTATTTCATTTATGTCTTGATTCTAACTTATAATCGACATTTTTCCCATATTGGAAATGGATAAAATGTCTTGTTCCATTTGCAGATTATTCACTTATAGTTAGCACTTTTTCACCAATATTAATGAATTACAGACTGAAAAGAAGCTCATATATCTTGCTGGAAAGTTACTTGTCAGATAGTTTTGTCTTTTTCCAAGCATAATAAGATATTTTGCATTAGAAACTAGACCAAAAATACGTGGTAAGATTTAGTGTTTTTGCAGTGCAGCATCTATGTTGCGTTTTTTTTTTGTGTGTGCAAAGTATCATTTGAAGCCGTTAAATTCTGCTACGTGACAAAACAGTCGCAGTCACAGATTCTAGGGCAAAAACACAGATCAGATTCAAATAAAGGACAAATTTAGGGCAACATTTGTCCAGTTATGAAGGCAAAGAGGAAATAGAAAATGCTGGGGCAGAAGAGGAAGAGTAGAGGTGTAAAAAAGAACAATAACAAACAGGGGAAAAAAAGAAGAACCAACTGACCCGTTGCCCCAGTTTTCTCCCTCCGTCGCTTTGCGCTGTGCGTGACGGCTGACGTGCGGCGCCTCTCTCTCCCCTCCTCCAGGAAGTTTATGAGGTGGCGAGCGGCTCCAGGCTGACTCTGACAGAACTGAAGCCCAGGACACGCTACTGCGTCCAAGCACAGACCGTCGTCCCCCGGCACATGAAGAGTAGCGATCGCAGCACCGCGGAGTGCATCACCACAGACTGATCACACACAGGTCCGCTTCTGCACCAAAGAGCTGTTGTGTCCGTGAGAAACGCGCCTGAAGAGTTTGACGGGTTTCCTTCTTCTTCTTCTTCTGCAGACGCCGGTTGACTCGAGTCGTCTCGTCACTCCAGTCCTCACCCCCTACCTCCACGGCTGCAGACACGGGTGTCTGAACTCGGAAAACTGGTGCGATTAATGGAATCTCTCGAGGAGCTTTTTTTTTATTTTATTTAAAGTCGGTTGCTAAAACTTGAAACTTTCTAGATTGACATTTTGGAGCATTTTCTGCTGAGGATCACTGTGAAATTCATTTCTTTGTGACGTTGTTGTAACTAAGTTTGGTTATTTTATTTCGTTTGTTTTGGAAGCTGAAGTGAAAACATGAAGACTATTTTATCTACTGAAATATTTATGCACAAGTTTAACATTATTTAGAGGAAACAACCTTTTGACATTTTGTTGTTTTTTTTTTTATCTCAAACAAATGAGAACGTACGAATGTTCCTGGACGTTTTGGACACGGCGTTTAAGAAAAAAAATGAAGAGTACCGGAGCTTCTGTTTGAGATTAAAAACAAAAAATGTTTTATACCTCATCTTTGTCCTGCATGCATCAACTCACTAATAAAAAGGATTCATTTCCTCTTTTAAAAGTTAATTTGTTTGTGTGTTCAGTTGTTGCGCTGCTGAAAGGTCAAAATCGTCTTGTAGGAGAGTTTTTATATCCCGGAACGTTCTCGTGTTTTGTCAAACTTAAAACCACAAGGTTGGTTGTATTTCAATAAGATAAAATAAAAATAAAATAAAAAAAATCAAAGAAGACGACAATAGGCTTGATGTGGACTTTATTTAAAACGTTGATAAACATGATAACTCTTGATCGATCAGGCATGACATAGCCAATACTGTCAGGATAAACACACACGGCTCACTGAAACAGATCTGAACCCGGTCAGTGTCATCAGCAGTCTTTAAAAAACCCCCAAAAAAACAAGAAGAAGAAGTTTTACACGGTTTGATCACTTCGCAGGCCTCTACGCTTCGTCTCCTTCACATAGCAGCAGGTTGGATTAGTGGTTTTTGGGTCTGAACGCAGAAAAATTCTCATTTCAAATCTGGTCCCCATCGCTGCCGTGGCAAAACGTCTTAGGAATGTAAGAGAAAACATTCGTCACAAAGCGGCGTGCTATTTACAGACGGTTCTGGAAAACGGAAGAAAACTGGCTTGTGGAAAGCACCTTTAACAGTTTGAGACTCGGATACTTCACGTTCTACAAAAAAAAAAAAAAAATTAAAAAAAAAAATCAAGACGCACGCAAACGTCAGGAAGACATTCACACCGTCTGGTAATTCAGATGCTTCTCTAAGTTCATTTTTTAGCCCTTCTCTAGGAAACTCAGTAAGACAACGAGTGAAACAAGTGAAGCGGCGCCATACGCACTTTTCAGTTACAGTGCAAAACCGATTCAGAGCTCTGGAGCGTAGAAAAGGTCTGGAGAGCAAAGCCTGCTGGGATACAGAGACCTTCACAAGTCCTGAGGAAGCAGGTAGTTTAAAGTAAAATTGAATTTAAACGTCTCCAGGCGTTTCTGAGCGCGACGGGACGAGTCTGTTCAGGTGAAAAGAAATATTTTTACGCATAAATAGACTTCATGATGCGAAACGGATTCAACCGAATGTGGAAGTTGTTAAATGTAACAGTTCAACAGGTTCATTCAGGTAAAAATACGTGATGCTTGCATTAAAAAAGGCACAGGCTTTACTGAGAACACTTTAAAAACCAGCTGCATTCAGGAATGTGTGGAAATAATACAAGTCCCTCAGTAAAACAGAGTGTGACTTAAACTGTGATTTGTTTCAGTAACTCATCAAAAGGTAAAACTCGTGTTAAACAGATTCTTTGTTTTGATGACTACGGCTTAAAGCTAATGGGAACTGAGTGTAAAGTTTATTGGGATTTTAAAATATTGCATAAAAAAAAAGGACTGATGTGTTACTTTTAAGACAGTGACCTCAAAGGGTCGCTGCTAACGAAGCTGCCCGTTCAGTGGATGTCAATGGAAAGTTGAGTGGAGGGAAAAGTGTGGCAGTGTGGAAAAAGATGAGAAAGTAACAGCTTAGAAAGGGTTGTGAAGCCATGCGGATACTGATGTCATCTTCCAGCAGAAGGTGACTCCTGTAACCATGGCAACCCCCTGCGAACTGGTCTGACCCGAACCCCACAGAGAACCTGTGGAGTGTTGTCAAGATGAAGATGAGTTAAGTGGATAAATAAACCGTAGGCTGATATTTCTGCTTTCCAAAGCCTTATGGAATATTTCTGAGACGTTTCATCAATCATCAAAATTTAAAATAAAAGCTCGAGTGTGTGAGATGAATCCGTAAGAGTTTAACTTCTTCAATTCCCCATTACAGACGCAGCTCATGTGTTCATGTTTCAACCAATCAGCTCTTGTTGAGTTTTACTGCTTTATGTGAAAAATCTGCTTTAGTGTGCCGAGAACCAGAAAAAAAAAAGACATCTATAAATACATAAAAAGCAACATTTTTCTTGTCTTTTCTTTTTTTTTTTTTTTTTACAAGAATAGATTCCATGTCTGCTTCGTAAGACTTCCAGTGATTTTCTACCTGCATCTCTATAATCTTTAGGTCGTTCTGGGTGAAACAAAAGATGCTTCGGCTCTAGCATTGATAATGTAACCTGTTCCTAGAGCGCAGAGTGAGCCGACAGTCGTAAAAACACGTTTGCAATAGAAAACAACAGCAGCATCAGGCTGACAGTGGGTAAAAAGTCATATTCACAAATATTGCTTTTTTTTTTTTTTTCCTGTTTTTTGTGAACATTTTAAGTTTACATGCACGATTCTCCAGTGAGAAAATAAATCTAGGAGCCTGATGACGCAGCTGTGAAACGGAGGTGGAATGTATGTCCTGCTGCCCGCTAACTCAGTTCATATTAAATTACCAATAAAAATAAATAAAAAGTTGTTTAGAGTTGGGGGAGATGCAGCGGCGGTCAACGTTGAGCTGCGACGACGTACCAAGGGGGACAGGGCGGGGTAACGGCGAGGTTAGAGGTCAGAGTCTGTTCTGGAAACGTGTTTAAGGCGGTTCTTTTAGAGCGCTGTGACACCCCAACATCACTTTGCTCAGGCACTAAGAAAAAAATAAAATAAAAACCTTCTTTCTATGGTGCTTTTAGAGACAAAAAGGAAGAAAGGCAGCGTACGTCTAAAGCCCCCCCAGCTACCCTCTACAGCCCGCCTCGCTCAGCTCCAGGCTCCTAGGAGAAAAACTCTTTCTCCAGCTCAAACATGGAGGGCCGTGCTGGGGAGCTCTGGATGCGGCAGAGCGGCACGGTGCAGTCCCGCTTCTGCCCCTCCGTGTCCATGTCGAGCAGCGAGCAGCCCACCTCCGAGGACAGCACCACGCTCAGGTCCTGGGCTGTCTTCTCCCCGGAGTAGTGGCCCAGGGAGTAGCTCTTGTTGCGGCCCCGCAGCAGGGCCCAGGCGTGGGGCTTGGCCCGGAACGACACGGGCCTCTGCCGCGGGACGGCGTCCCCGTTGGCCGGCTTTTCCTCCTTCTCCTGCTTCCTCTGAGCAGCAGGTGGCGCCGGAGGGCCGTTGTGGGCTGTGAGCAGAGAGAACAGTCAGATAAACCCGAGCATGCCAACTTCCTCCAGCTATGCACTGCAAAAAACACGACATGTTGTCAAATGCAAATGTCTTAGTACCCTGGAAACAAGACAAAACTGATGTACAAGCAACGTTTCAGTGAGATATGCACCTGGTTTTGAGTTAATAATTCCTTAATATGAAAAAGTACTAGTTTTAAGTACTTCTCCTGCAAATGAAACAAGACTTTTTAATGTATTCATCCACTGGGAGGTTTGCTGTAGAAACTAGACCAAAGATATTCTGAGATCAGTGTTCTTGCGGTGCGGTGTGTGCCCCTCACTGTTGTGGTTGGCGGTGTACTTCTTCCTGCGCAGTCGTGTTCCTGTGTTGTGGTTGCTCTGCTCTGGGGGCCGACTCTGACTTTGCTCTGCCTTCTGGGTTTCAGCTGCAGGCTTGCTGCTCTGGCTGTCTGCAGCTGCTGCTCTGACGGGTCGGGATGTTTCCGAGTTGTCATCGTTGACCGCAGGCTCGGCCTTCCCAGGATTCAGCTCCGACGCCTCGGCCTCCGGCTGTAGGAGGCACTTGGTGGAGTTGCACTCCATGATGGCCGACATCGAGACGAGGTTGACCGGCGGGGCGGCGCCGCCGTTTGAAGACGCGTCTTCCTTGCGGGAGCGGCCGCCCGGTGGGGAGGTGCTGCGGCGGAACCGGGTTGCACGCTGAAACAGGCCCTCCTTCTTCTTCTTCTCCTCTTTTGGGGTCTCGCACTCCTCAGGAGGAGCTGAGGTCCTGATGGCCTCTCTGATGTCGTAACCCAGGACCACAGAGGCCAGCAGCGAGCCACAGCCGTACAGCGCAAAGTCGGTCTTCCGTCGCGCCGACGCCCTCTTCAGGCTGTTGGTGGGGGTCAGCTGAGGGGTTGTGGAGGTGGAGGAGGTGGACGTGGTGGTGCAGGGGTCTTCCGGAGTCTCTGGGGGACTTCCTGCACCGACCCCGGCGTCGCCCGGTCCGCCGCTCCCACCGGGGCTCTGAGGCTGCGTCTCGTCCTTCCACAGAGGAAGGTCGATGTAAACCTGGTTGGGGAACTTGAGCTGCTTTGGTTTGGAGCTGCTGTCGGGACATTCCTGGGGGAACGCCTCCTCCCTGCCTGCTCCCACTGAAAACAAACACACAACTGGTTACATGTAATCAAAACAAGGAAAAAGGGATTTTCTTTGCAAATAAAGTCTTGATGATTCGTTGTACATTTGCCCTCCTCACTGCAGATCCAGACACCATTCTGTCGGGGTGCGTTTCTACGAGCCCATTTAGAAACTGATGTTGTGCCGAAACAGCTCCACTAATTAGTCCAAACTTTCAATTTATGCCACAAATTTTCTATTGGATTCAGGTTTGGACTTTAACTAGGCCACATGAGGCAGCTTCTAACAGGTTTTCTTCAGCCTTGTGAAGAAAAGTACCACAACAAGACACTGCTACCACTGGACTGGCCCCAGGTAACAGTGGGGCCAGTCCACCCGGTCAATCAGGTCCAAGGAATGGCAGTACTGGATTGGCTGCTTTGCTAATGCCAGCTAATAGCGTGTCAAGTAGCATTGGTGCTACGCATGCTGCATTTTCTTTTGAATATTTCAGATATTCTTTAGGGAAAATCTGTAAATAGGCAAATTTTCCACAAATAATACAGCATACCACAGAAAAGTCTGCAAATACTGAACTGTAAATAGGTGAGGGTCCACTGTGTATTTCACCAGGGGTGAAGGGTGATGAGACGCAGAGTTAGAAACCAAACCAATAATTTTGCATGCAAGACAAAATGTCTCGTTTTCATTTCATCTTCTGGGCGCCTGCTGTGTTGCTTGCATGGTTTATAACAAAATGCAAACAGAACCAAAGAAATAAACACCATGAGGTTCAAAAACTATTTCAAAAAGTAGAAATAAACCCACATATATGTAAGAAAAGAATAAAGATTATAGCAATAAAGGTTTGCGTGCCTTCTCTCTATCGTATGTCTATCTGATAGTTTGTGGCTACCTGTCATTAGCTCACCTTGTTCGCCGAACAGAGCGGCCAGGGGAACAGACTTCTGGGACTTCAGCAGGCTGGTGGACCAGGGGTTACTGCCGTCTGACAGAGGACGCACCCTGACCCCAGAACACAGGAGATGGTGAAGACGAGTACCAGACAGACTGCAGGGTCACTGAACAAACTAAATGAGGCACATCTTACTTATTTATTACTTTGAAAATATGAATATTCCCACTTTGTGTTTGAGTGAAGTAAATAAGTAGAGAGAAAATAGTTGAAAAAAATGGGAGTTGTTTTTGGAGCCGGCTGCCCAGTGGAGAAAGGTCGTGGGTTCGAATCCCAGCTTGGAGTCTTTCTAGTTTGCGTGTTCTCGCCTGAGCATGAGTGGTTCCTCTCCGGATCCAAACACGTGACTGTAATCGGCTTAACCGCCCTCGGATACGAAAGGTTCAAGTGTCGCGTCAACAACAGTTCACAGGCAGAAGCTTTATCATCTGATTAGTAAACTGACCTCCAGGTTGATGCAAAGTACAGAAAACTTTTAGGAACATCAACCAAATGTTCTGGGACTAAGCCTGGCTGAGTGTCAGTCTTACCTCTCGGCTGCAGCAGGTCTTTCTTTGCTCTGAACTGAACTGGGGCCCCAGGTTCTTCCTTTCTTCTTGATTCCTTTTTTCACGTCGTCGAACTCCTCCGGCCTGAAGAGGGAGCTGCGGCCCCACGTTCGGTTGCTCTCGTCTTGTGTGACTGACAACAGGAATTTCTGCTTATTACAGACTCATAATATGATTGTCGCAGAAGCTGCACGAGAAACTACGAGGACGCATTTTAATCTGTTAAATCCAACAATAATCTTTGAATAAAATCTCTAATGTCTGTGTTGTCTTTAACTCTTGCCCTTACAAAAGGCCTGATTCAGTTTTTAAGAGCTAATTTGATTGATTTAAAGTTTTTGTCATTTTTTTTAGTTATCTGAGAAGATACACATTGGTACCTTTTTAAAACATTTTATTAAGTTAGAATAGAAAAGGTGTTTCAGTCTCATTAAGACTGGATAAGTCTAATAACTGTAAACATTGTTTAAAATGATTAAAATTGACTTTACAAAACAGATTTTTTAAAACTAAAATAGAACACTTTTTAATTTGTTTGTTTGTGGCTGGATACAAAATTTATCCAACTTCCCCACGCCCCCCAAAAAAACAAAAAACTGAATTTAATTGAATAATTAAAGAGAATATGGAAGAGATGAAACCTCATTATTCAATAAACTTGTGTCCAGTAGAGAAAATAAACTGTTTGTTGTGAAGTTTTAGGCCGATTTCTGTTTTCATACTGAATCGGAGCTGATCCACTATCTTCCTGCTCGCTCTGAATGTCTCCACCTCGCTGAAATGAACAAGAGGAATTTGCTCCTGTTATCACAAGGGCGTTGCAGCGTGCCTAAAAGTCTTTACCAAACTGTTTAAACAACTGACTGGCTGCCTTTTTGACCCTCTCGGTTAAAAACAGCATCCGCCTGCTGGGCTCTAGTAAACCTCTCAAAGAGCTGATGTGATTTTCTTTTTTTTTTGTCCCCCCGTGATTTAATTTTTGAAAAAGAAGATCCAATTTAATCCAGGGAGCATGGTTGGTGTTTAAACTTTCAGACTGTGCATGGCCAGAGGAAGACGAAGCGGACTCACGCTGGATGGCTCGCAGTCGAGGGATGAGCGTGGGGCTGCTGGGCGGAGAGGAGCTGGTGCTGTGGAGGCTGCGCCGCTTGTCCATGGAAGGCGACGCCTGCACGGTTATCTTGTGCTGGAAGTCTGCAGGATGCAACATGGACATGCAGGCGGGTGTAATTCACTCTCAGGGTTTACTCAGGGATTAGACAAGGAGCATTCTTTGTAAATGGCAAATATTGCACAAGCTGCTACACTGAACAAAACTCTCAAGTATAGAAAACCTCACAGTTTTATAGTAAATAAACACAGATGTCAGTAGCTGCCTTTCCATTGACACTATCGCTGCGCAAATGGGAATTGCAGCTTGATTGAAATGAGTCAATTTTGGAAGAAAAAAAAAAACATTAAAAACACAGAAATGAGGTGGATTCTCGGCTGTATTTGGCAAAACTAAAATTTAAACACTTTTTTCGCATCACACGTGTCACATGACCAACAACCGGATGTTACCGCTGGTGGAAAAGACAGAAAAGACGGCAGGAAGTGGTAGGAGGATGATGGTGTGGCATGTTTTTTAATGACTTACTCCTGTGTGATTTTAATTACCTTAATTATTTAAACACCGCAATTGCGAAATTGTGTTTTTCCGAGGTTAGTTTTGCACACATTTGTAATAAAATAATAAAACCTAATACAAATAAATCAATAAATGACATGTACTCTCACCTGAGGGCAGGCTGATGCGGTTCCCATCCTTCAGTTTGAGGCGGGAGCGTTTGAATTTGCCTTTCCTCTTCTTGACGTTGGGCTTGTCCTTGTTGAGCTGGAAGATGAGGATGTTGAGCTCTCTCTCCAACACGTTGATCTCGCGCTCCGCCAGCTGCTGCTCGCGCCGCTTCAGCAGCTCCTCCTGAGACTTCTGCTGCAGGGCGGCCCGCGTCAGCTCCTCCTCCCTGGAGCGCAGCTCCTGCACACAACCGGGTTGGAAGTGAAGGCTGGGCTGCCTGCTGCAAAGCTACAGAGCTACTCTATGAAACCGAGAAGATACGGCTCAACAGAAGCATCTTCAGACTGTCGGACTGCGCCGGTTCATGCTTAAAATAGATCAAATCTGTTCATTTGAACAGGAAGAAAGGTTACTCTGGATACAAAAACTGATATAAAATGCTAAAGGAAGTGTTTGTTTTAAAATATTAATAAGACCCTGACTTACAGCAGCTAGTTTTGAAGTAAATAGACAATCGTTCATGTTGGAAATCAAGGAAAATATTCTAAATGCTGCTCTGATATCGTCTTATATTTTAGATCTTGAACATGAATCGTAATTATCTAAAATCAGAATCAGATCAAAAGCTAAAAAAAAAAAAAAACTTAATTAGCTCAATTTCTGAAATATATGGTTGCATTAAAAATTTCTTCACTTACCGTAATTAAATATCTTAATTTAATCGCCTTAAACCAAAAACTTTCATCGATTTAAGTGATTTAAAATGAAATCGCTAACCAAACTTACAATGCAGGTGTTATGAATAATTTGTCAGATCCTGACAGGATTACACGGTGAAATCAGCAGTGAGGGTTCAAAATATTCAACAGATTACGTTCTGGTTCTCATGTTCGAGGATTTAGAGACACATTCTCAGAAACGCGTTAAGATACAAAGCAGCCTTGAAGACAGATTTCTGTAGGATAAGCGGTGGATGACTCCGTGAATAAGAAGTTGACTGTAGGATTAGTTTGTATGTTGCTGCGAACTTCAGTTTCCTCCCAGGGTTTTTCCTCTTTTCCTCCATCTTTCTCTCAATTCCTTTCTGCTGAGTAAAGATAATCGGTACTAGATGACTTCAGTAAAGCAGCTTTACAGTCGAAACCCGTCAGCCTCCCAGATTAGTGTGGGATATTTGCAGAAAATCTACCAACATAGTTAACAACACTGCCGTTAATTATGTGAAATTTGTATCAGGAAAATGGTTGCCAATCCTCTGAGAAAACACTTTTTATTAAGCATGATTAAAAAAAAAAAAAAAACTACTGAGAGTTAAATAATATATCTGACTAAATTACCAATATTCACAATAAAGAGTGGAAAAAATAGAACATATTCGCCTAGATTAGGAGAAAGAAATATAATTTAAAAGTCTTAGAAACCCAACCTGTGTGGTTCAGCTCACTATTTGTGCTGATCCTGTTTTTTCATTTGACACTAATTAACCCTCGCTTTAAGCGTACACTTAAACAGAAAGCAGATTAAGCTCTTAACCAGGGGGAAGTACGCTCAAGCACCACAGCAGTAATGACTCAGTTAGCTAAAGACGCAACAAGCTTATTAAATGAAGGTGACCAGTCAGGGCTTTCGAGCGGCTACACTTGGACTGCTTCGTCTCTCAGCATCTGCAGACATCAAACGCTGATGTCTGGTAAAGTTTCCACACAGAGCGAGGTGGAGATCGTCGATGCCTTCTGGTCGGCGAGTACCTTCTCTTTGGTCCTGAGCTCATCGAACATCTCCTGGATCTCCACCCGCCAGTCGTCCTGCATGCTGTGGAAGGAGTCCTGGGGCATGGTGGCCATCACCGCCTCCTCGATGGCCGACAGCTGCTCCAGGATGCAGGAAAAGGAGGGGCGGACGTGAGGGTCCTGGTCCCAGCACTCTGCGGGACGAAGCACAGACCGACCCGGGTCAGAACATCTCCGAGCAAAAATCCTTCCCATCTCTCTAAATGGGCTACCAACATATAGCCAGGTAGCTGGTTTTACAGCGGACAGCTGGCATTTGTAGGATACAAGCAGACGCACAGTTGGTGTACAGAAACGTTTTGCAGTATGTCCGACTGCGTTCATCAGACAGAGAAAAGGTTCTGGTTGTCGTCGGCTCAGCAGAACTTTTGTTTTAGTCAGAATGTGAAAAATGATGATGCCAAAAAGAGGCTACGCTTTAACTGAACTGTCGTGTGAATTTTGAACAAACTCTTAAAAAACAGAAAATGGAAATAAAGCGGGTTTCCATTTACTGGTTTGGAGCGAATCAACCAGGTTACGCATGGATGCAATGAACAAGATGTAGAGCTGGAAAACTAGCATGGACCACACATCTCCTTCCACTGAGAGGTCTGGACTTTTTTCACATGTTTCAGAGTCAAGCCCACCAGTGGATAAGAACGTTGGCTGCATCAAAAGAGAGAAACACCACATTACCCACAAAGTCTCGCACTATTTGGTTGAAGAAACGTAAAGTCACGTTTCCCCCCTTAAGAATGCAAATAACAGTACTTTGACCAGTTCACTTAATCACTAGGCAGTACACACAAAATGCAGATTTTTGTCAGATTAAACAGCAAAGTAAATTTGACTAAAAATGACAGCAGAATTGGTTTATTTGATTTTCAAACAAATTGATTTGGCTGTAATCACCTTCCATAAGCTTGGCGAAGGGTTCAGGGCAGGTGGAGGGGATGGGAAGAGTCAACTTGTTGACAGCCACACCGTAAGCAACAGCCAGACCATCGATCCCTCGGTACGGGACCTCCCCCGTTAACAGCTCCCACAGCAGGACACCGTAACTAACGGATGACACAGACACACACAAATAAAGTCACCTTCACCGCATGAAGGATAAGATACTTTATTCAGAGTCGTAGTCCGTCGTTGCCGCACCTCCACACGTCGCTGCCTTTGGAGAAGAGCGAGGACTTGATGACCTCTGGGGCCATCCAGGAGTAGGTGCCTGCAGCCGACATTTTTGTAGTTTTGTGCCACTCTCTGGCGAGGCCGAAGTCCGTGATCTTCAAGGTCTTCCTCCCGATGTCGTCGTTCTCAATTTTTTCAAGTAATAAAACTGAGAAAAGGGGAGAGAGGCAACGCTGAAATAAGGCATTTCAAGCGATGTAGTTAAATTTTCGAGATTAAGTTTGATTTTTTTTTTTACATTCTGCTAAATATTACAAACATAAAAGCAAAACAACGCCAAAGAAAAGCAAAGCAAAGCTGCAAAATAAGCATCTGAAAGTAAACTGGCTGGAAATGGATCCAGACTCCAATGTTCCGACACAACACAAATTCAATTTTTTAGATAATTTTTAGATTATAAATGTAAAACTGCTGATAACTTTACAACGGATGGATGAATGAATAATCAACAAAGCAATTAATGGATGAGAGCAAAAAAAAAGAAAATCAAATAAAAATACTTAAACTCCAAATGTTTCTCGTCACCTAAGATTCAGAGACACAGCTCCAGTCAGACTGATTTTTTTTAACAAGCATTTTTAGTAAGTTTTTTTTAAATAGATAACTATGATTAACGCAGCAGAACAGAAGGAGAGAGAAAACTGCATGTGAGGAGTGATGGGTGACATTCATGAGGGCAGGCAGTACACAGCGCCACTCGTTACTGCGGCAACGGGAGGCTGACAGCGCCACAAAGCGCCTGTCCTCAGGTCCTAAAACTGCTTAACACATTAAAGGCTGAAGCCTGCTGGTAACCCAACGCCTGAAGTGAAAGCGCGGCCGCAGAGAAACCGGGTCCAACTGACGCGCCGTATGAAGTCCAGACAATCTGTGACAATCAGGTGTGAAAAATCCATGCCTCGCACACCTACAGCTGCCCAACACTCGCTGCTCTTTTATCCACGTTTTCCTGGAGCGCAGTGAACAGAAACAGCCGGGGCCTGGCGGTCTGAGTTCCAGTCTGAACCCACACAAGACGAGTAACTTCTTCCTCCCGCTTACATTTAACTGGGAATACTTCTAGTTGCACACAGAACAGATAGTAACTGTGTGGAAGTAAATCAGCTCCACCCGTCATTGTTATGAGGAAGGCAATAATTGTTTTGAAATTGCAGCCGTACAGCCACTAGCAACAAGTCTGTGAAAGTACCAGAGCAGCCTGACTGACTGACCAGGTAAAGCCAGGCGCTTATACATGAGATGGCTCATGAAAAATAATCCCACACGTCGGTTTTAAGGTCTGTTGTCAGCTTTGCTTTCTTGTTTCACATATTTTATCTTCAAAAAACTGAATATTAACAGCAAAAAGTGGCTCTTTGATGTCTTGATACTCTTGATTTTTTTCACATCTGTTTTTACTTCTGCCAGAAACGTCTCTCATTACAAACTGCCCCACTTCACGACTTTATGCGCAGACCTATCGCTTACAGTCGAGCTGCAGAGATTCTGCGAAGCAAACAACGGAGGAGCTGAAACGTACGCCTCGATCTTCCTCAAGTTACTTCTGGGTTATTTTTAAATAAATTTTTAAAACAATGACGGCCCATTAAAAATAAATCCATAAAAGTTGTGTTTGTTTTTTCCCCAAGCGTGCAGAGCGGATGGACTTTACTATGCGTTTCTTGGGGTGTTGTGTCAAAGGAGTGAATTGTTGGAATTTTTAATAGTTAAAATGCGACACTGTAGCAATTTCCAAACAGAAATATTTGTGATGCTTGTAACAAGGTAGCTGCATCATGAGTTGTTTTTTTGTTTGTTTTTTGTTTCTCTAACCTTGAACTCGCTGCTCTCAATCGCTGCACGGCAAACACAGAAAAAAAATATTCACCAATAGTAAATTTACCTCCCTGGTTTTATGCGCTTCTTAAAAGCTTATTGTTCTGCTGGTTATTACAAGTCCTGCTTCTTAATTAAAGAGTAAGCAGATCCGTTGACAGATGCCAATGGGCGGCAGAAGGCAGCCGCTGCCCTGAAGAACCGACGGGGAGCTCAGAAATACGCCTCGTCACTGCTGGGTAAATACAAAAAAAAAAAAAAAAAAAAAAACTCAAACAAGCAGAATGGCCTCCGTTAAAAAATGTCCACGATATCAGAGGCGCTGCGTGACTCGGTTGGTACAACGGGTCAACGTCCTTGACGTGTTTGTCCTTGTTGGATTCCTGGTCTTAGGTCATCTACCTACTTCTCTCTCAACCCTCCTTCCTGTGATATTGGCATTAAAAAAAAAAAGCTGCCAGAGCCCAAAAACTGACCACTACTTTAAAACAAAGCACCACTTAATCATAAAGTCTCAGTTTATCTGAAGGTTTTAGGTGGCAATTTTCAGATCTGACCAAGTTAGTTTGTTTGTCACAAGAAACGAAAACATTTTGTACCAAATTTGACCGAAGGATATTTTAAAGTTTAATAGACCCTGAAAACAACAGAAACTGCATCACCTGTAAAAACTTCAAGAAAATACATAAACATTTCAGTCTAATAAATCACTAAAGCACTGCCTGACTACTCTGAATGAACTGCAAACATTAGGATGGCAGCATTTTGTTTTTTAAGAGCAGTATTTGTATTTGTGTGCATTTGACTGGGTTAAATACAGATAGTTTAAATCACAGCCTGCAAATCAATACCTTTAATTCCCCGGATAGGAAAAAAAAAAAACCCATGAACTTCAATGTTATTTTGACATCAAAACCAAACCTAGTTTGAAAACCTTAGCTTCAGTTTCAAGCCCTGAAAGGATATAAAGACAAAAAAGTAGCAAATCTCCTTTTTTTTTTTTATTTAAGTACTACAAGAGTGTTTGATTTGTTTATGAAGACAGAAACAAACGAGTTGTACTAAATCTCAACTTGTGATAGGTCAAAATATAACAACAACAACAAACAAAACAACTTCATTTGATCATAAATCCTATTTTTCCAGAAATTTTAATTTTTCTTTTAGGTATTCGAGTAAATCTGAGAACACAAACTTATTTCCATTGTTATCCAAAGTGATAAACTTTTCAAAACTGGACAGGAACCTTGAACAGTGAAGCGAGCCCAGATGAACTACAAACTCTCTGATTGGGTAATTCTGTGGTACCAAAACAGTTTCACATCCCCCCCCAAATTTCCACTTGACATGAACGAACGTGAAGCGGTACGCCGAGCTTACAAAGTGGTTTGTTTCTGAAAGTAGCTCTACTTTGTCGTCTGCAGCTCAGGTCAGCCGTCTAACGTGAGCAGTGACGGCTAAGATTTCCGTTGCCATCGTCAGGTAATATTTTAATAGCTGTGAAACAACCGCTAGCATCATTTCAGGACGTCCCAGGCTCGGTGAAGAACAGGGCCATCGGTGCCATTACTCTCCTGGGGCAAACAGGGGATCCTCTACCCCGGCTCCAACAATGGGAATTCCATTACAAAACAGGTTTCATTCCACCAGCGATACACTTCGACTTCCTGTTGTCAAGTCGTCTCCCGGTGACGCCAAAGATTCCTCCCAGCGGCCTCCGTGGAACAATAATAACGACTTAAGACGGGTTGGTTACACGACCTTGAGGAAAAGTGGTCTCAGGATGAACCTGTCTGTGCTGACTTGACGTATAAAATGTCAGGCAGAATATTTTCTTTGGAGCTCCGTGCTACTTTGGTGTCAGCCCTCTAGAAACGATGGATAAAAGAACAAGCTTCTGTCACATGACTCCCTGCTGACGTCAAGCTACAAATAGCAACCTGTCACACTTGCAATCCATTTTATTTGACGTGTCGACTCTAACAAGAGCTGAGCTGCTGGCAAGCGGGAGAGTCAAAAGGTTGACTAGTTTGGTTGCGTTTCAAATGATTAAATCAAACTAAGGAACTCCTGGTGAACATTTATTTGCTCTCTACTTAAAACGTGTCTTGAAAAATACTCAGTAAGTGAAGAGGAAGGGAAGGGTTTACTTCTGTTTTCAAAGTTTTATTGGCCAAAGTGAATCTGAAATGCGGAGAATGCATTTGTGTTCAGCCATGTAGGGTGGAGACGGGAGGTGAGCGGGTCATACGAGACCAAAATTTTACTTTAAGTCATGCATGCAACAGGTTGTGTGTGCTGGAACTTGAACACGTATCAACCTGATTTCCCTTTCCTCATTGTGAAGCAGGGTGGTAGCTGCATCATGCTGTGGGAAATGCTAAGGGAAGCTGTTCAGAGATGGAGCTAAATGTAGCACAATTCTAAAAGAACAGAGATTGCAAACAATTTCGTGGGTTCATCTTTCACTAAGATAAATATTCAGCTTCAGCAGAAACAAGACTTTAGATCAGATTTCCATGTGTTGAAGCGCCCAAAGTTCAGATCTAAATCCATTTCAGAAGATAGGAAACTCCACCCACTTTGAACTCCAGCTATTTAGAAATGAAAAATGGGCACAAATTGACGGTGTCTGGATGTGCAGAGCTGGTAGAGACTCACACTTGCAGCTGTGATTTCAGTGAAAGGCGATCATGACTGTGACTACAAATGGATGCCACACTTTTGAAATATGTATTTGTGAAAACTATTTACTTGTTTTTATCACATAAAATCATAACATTATATTCATCACATAAAATCCTTAAAAAAAACCCTAATTGGTTGGTGTAATAAACTAATCCCTAGAATACCAGCAGCATTGAGACAAACAAACAGATCAACAGCAATCGATGAAAACTGGTGAGTTTATTTACAAGTCAAAGTCTCTACTCAGTGTTTACAAGCTCGAAGTCTCGCCTATAACCAACAGCTGAGTCAATCTTTTGGTCCTTCGGATCCATATTATGTAAGACTCTGTTGATTATTCCCTAAGAATCTGCCAGACTTAAACACCGTCATGCACAAGCTTTGTGATTTTGGTAATTCAGTAATGTTCCGTAATCCAGACTATTTTCACTGTTGGCTTTAAGGATTAGGCCTGCAGGCCAACAACACGTGACAGAAACAGATGAGGAGTCGATTTTATGACGTTTTTGAAGCAACAACACTCCAATGTCAAAAGGTGTAACTCACTTAAAACAGTAAAGCTTCAAACCCCACAAAAAAAAAGGCACACAGGCAAGACAGAGACAGGCAAAATTCTTAGTTTCGGAAAAATTGGCTGTGGTAAAA